ACTATTTTACTAACTTTATATTTAGTCTAGTATTTAGATTTCTGCTATTTATTAGAAGTCTTAGGCTTAGCTTACTTTTTATTCTTACTAGGTTCTTCTTATCTAGTTATACTAGTTCTACTAGCTTTACTAGTAGTTTTCTTACTAGACTCTGCCAAATTAGCTCTATTTTTCTTAGCTAGATCCGGTTAAGTTAAGGCTAAAATTATAATAGGGGCCTATTTTTTAGGCTTATCTCGGAAAGTAAGAAAAGGCTTATTATTATAAATTTCCTTAATTAGGATTCCGGAAGTATTAAAGATATATTATCTAGCCTTGAGATTATTAGCTAATAGTAGCTTAAACTCTAATTCTTTATATTCCGAAATAGCTTTAGTATATTTAAGTATTTTAGTAATATCTAATTTAGTAAATATACTAGTATTCTAATATTTCTTATTCTTAATATACTCTAAAGTAGCTTTATTAATTAACTAAATAACTTTATATACTAAAGCTTTTGTTTTAAAGAGAAAATATAACTTCTTATAAATATTTTTACTAAGATTATTATAGATATTATTAATATATTAGCTAAAAGCTTTATTATATAATATAATTCTATTCTGACTCTTAATATTAAGACTATTTACTATAGTCTTAATCTTATTAAGCTTCTTTTATTTGCCTTTAGGAATGCCTTTAATAATATTCTCGAATTCCCCTATTATTAGCTTAGTAGTTCTTTAGCTCCTCCTTAGTTAATTCTAGTTTAGTTCTATCTCGTACTAATAAAGGTTTTCTATTTTAAGAGAGCCGTTATTATATATATATTATTTAGCTAGCTGTATCTAGGAGATATTTTGATATTTAAACTTTTAGTAATTATAGCTATCTTGTTGTTAGTATTAGCGTGTTAGGCCTTCTATAGATCTACCCAAGCTTCTTTAATTACTCTGAACTTTAATACTATTAATCTATAGGCTTTTATAATAATACTATGGCTTATAAGAAACTAGCTATTATACTTTACTAACTTAAGGAATCTGTTTTTGGTTTTTTGGCTATTTTATTATTCTTAATAGGTTATAAAAATATTATTAGTATAATAATTATAGGTTATAGAATTAAAGGTTCTCGAGATTATAAGAATTTCTTTTAAGTATATTTCAAAATAAAGAGCCAAATTAGAATAGTCTTAAATTATATAAATATATTATATATATTTGAGTTTTCCTTTTTTCCTAGTAAGAAAATAAAGCTGAAATAATAATATATATAATAGGGAAAATAGATATAATAATTAGATATATTTAAGGTAATATAATTATAAAAGGTAAAATATAAAATTAGGCTTTTATTATAGAAAAGAATATAAATATATATATCTAAGGAAATATAATTAAGGAAATAATTAAGGCAGAATTAAGGCAAGTTAAACTAAATAGTAATAATAGGGAAATAAGAAAGTAATATAATAGAAATATAAATATAGTAATAATATCTAAAGTATTAGAATATAAAAGGAAATAATAAAAAATTTATAATATAAATATATCCTAATTCTTTATTTATTTAGAGATATTTCTATTAACTTAAAAAATAATATAAAAGAAGGGAAATAAGATAAGGAATATATAAAAGATAAAATATATAAGTATACTAAAGATATTAGAGAAAATATAAAATAAGTATTAATAGAAAAGAAATTAGAATAATAAAATTAAGAAATAACTCAGAATAAAATATTACTTTTTTTTTCCTAATTCTAAATATAGTTACTATTTATTACTATAATTCGGAATTAAAAGTTTATAAAATAATCTCTTAACTTCCTATTTATTTTTATACTAAAAGAAATCCTTTATATTTAATTTCCAAGATCTAGTAATAGAATTTCATATATTAAAAATACTATCTAGTAATAGTAATTAGATAATAATAAGAAATAAATAATAATAAAGCTTATTCGATTTCTAGAATAATAATCTAATAATAATATTCTCTAAAAGTTATAAATATTAGTTAGAAAGAAAAAATAAAAGATATATAAAGAATTAAATATAATAAACTTTACTTTAGGTTAAGAAAAGCTCTTATTATTAGATACTTTCTCCTAATTCTTTATAAAGAAGATATATTTTGCTTTTTCTAATTCTAGTAATTCTAGAATATATATAATAATACTAGTAGCTTTCTCGATTTTTTAAATATTATTTTACTTATAGTATTTTATAACTATTTTCTTTTCTAGTTCTATATTTATTTTGAAATATTTATTTATAAATATATATTTATTATTAACTTTATTTTTAGGGAAATACCAGAATTTATTTCTTTTAATAAACTACTTAAATTAATTCCCGGTATATATTCTTTAAAATATAATATTATTAAGTTCTTCTAATATATAGTATTTTTTTAGTTAATTTATATATCTTATTTTATATAGACTAAGCTAGTAATATAATAGCTTTATATTTCTTAACTTATCTTAACTTATCTTAATTTATTAATTTAATATTATATATAAGAACTAGATTCTTTTTAGAAATAGGCTTTAAATAAATCTAGTAAGTAATATTAAATTATTTCTTTCTTTCTTAGTATCTTCTATTTTTCTTTATTCTGGCTTTTTTAATATTTTTATCTCTTATTTATATTTATTTTATATATATTTCTAGAAGTATTTCTCTATTATAGACTTTGTTTTATTTAAGTATTTTCTAGATTAGAAAATATATTTCTATAAGTAGTATTACTTCCCTACTATAAACTATATAAAAGAGAGTAAATCTAGTTAGTTTATATATAGTAACTTAGTTAGTAAATAGAATATATAATAATAAATCTATCTAAGGCTTCTTTCTATCTATTATAAATACTATAAATACTTAAATAATTAGTTAATATCTTCTTTTAATTATACTATTTTCTTTAGAATTATAGGCTAAAATAATAATTCTATTAATTTTTAGCTTATTAAGTTCCCAAATTATTATTTCTTTAAATTCTAATTTACTATTTACCTTAAGTTATCTAAATAAACTATACCTATAAATAATTTCTTCCTAAATAAACTTAGTAACTTTCTTACTAGTTAGGTTTTTTAAAGATCTAGCTTTAATCTATTCTAAAAAGTTATCTTTAATAATAACTAATAAGTTATATTCTTTATAGTCTAGTAATTTAATTATATTAATTCCAAGATAATAGAAAAGAGATATAGCTTTTATTAGATATAGAGCTTTTTCTTATTTTCTTTTATTCTTATACTAATAAATTTTATAAGTATTAATATACTTTTATATATAGTTATAGTAACTTTCCTAGTAATAGTAGCTAGTTACTAAGTAAAAAGTACTTTTTTTTCCGGTATATCTAATCTTATTATATAGCTCTTTAATAATAATTTTCTTTTATTCTTAATTATTAATAATAAATTAAGATAAATATATTTTAGATATAACTTTCTATAGTAATTAATTTCTTATACTATAACTCAAAGCTTCCTTATTTAATTTTTAAAACTTGGCCCTAGATATTTCTTCTAGTCTAGAGAATATTATAAGATATTATATAATATTCTAGTATTATTCGGAATAGCTATTATCTAAGGAATCTAGTAAAATAGTTAGGTTATTAAGTAAAGTATAGGAGTTAGTATTATTATTTACTATTTTACTAGTAATTATATATAAAAGGCTATAGCTTTTACTATATAACTTTCGAATTTTATTATTTTTTAATATTACTAATTTACTTCTAGATATAATAAGGCTTTAATTATTAATCTCTAGTAATTAGATACTATTATTTAAATATCTAGTAAAGGTTTTAGGAGTCGGATTTCTTAAAATAATATTATATAACTAAACCGGAACTACTTTCTTTATCTGAATTTTCTGCCTAATAAGTACTATTCTAATAATATTAAGTTCTATTACTAATTATTTATTAATATTCTTATTATCTTTAGTATTATTTTCTTATTATAGGTATTTCGATAATTTATTAATAATAATATACTTGGTTTCTTTAATATATTTAACTTTAAAATTAAATAATTAAATTCATACTAGCTAATAAGTAATTAGAGCCCTAGAAAGATCTATAGCCGCTTTACTTAGCTATATAACGAGTATATTAGTATCTAGTTCAAGGATAAAGTAAACTCTATATAGCCAGAATTATATTTTCTATAAATATTTTACTAGCTTTTAGTATTTTTTCTTAGTAATATTATATTTCTATTTAGTATTATTTTAGATTCTAGACTTATACTATATGATTTTCTTTTTCCTTTTATTATTATATTAACTAAGAATTCTGCTCTATTTATCTAGGCTAGTATTTATTACTAATATAATTATTTCCTAATCTTCTAATAAATTATAGTATAACTTATAGAATATTAGAATAGTAATAAGCTTTTCCTAAAGAATTTATATAGCTTGCTTTTATTTATTATCCTAGTTCTATATTATATTCTTTCTTATTAAATAATAAATAGGTTTAGTAATAATTATAAAGCTTTTAATTTAAATATAATAATAAATAATAATTTTAATAAATACCTTATTTTTAGTTATACTATTATAATATTCTTATTTTAAGATCTTAGTAATTCCTAAGCTTAAAGGGCTTCTTCTAAATACTCTATAAATAAAGCTAATAATAACTATACTATTATAATAGAATTATAATTTTTCTCTAATACTAGCTCTAGTTTATTTAACTTTATCTAGAATTATATCTAGATTTTAAAAATATTTAAATATAAAATACCGAATTCCAGGTAAAATAAGCTACTTATTATAGTTTATATAAGGTCTCTTGACTTTAATATTATTAATAAATAATATAGCGATTTTAGGAAATAGATTCTCTAGAATAGTTATAATAACTTATATAAATTATATAATAGAATTAGTAGCTTCCTAAAATAATATAGTTATTCTTAATAGCCTTAGAAATATTATAAATATAGTTAAATCTCTATTATAAGTATCTAGTATAAGTTAATTATATCCGGAAAAGAAATTAATTAGAGAAATATAAATATATCTAGTAAATTTCTTTAAGATCTTATTAGTAAATAAGAATAAGTTAGTATTTCGTAAAATTACTAAATTTATTTTTATAGTAGTATTAATTAGTCTATAAGTTCTAGTAACCTTTTTTATAACTAAGAACTATAGATTTTAGTAAGGTTTATTATATTTCTTAAGAACTTTATAATTTAGGTATTCTAATAGTATTTTTATTATTACTAGTACTAAAGCTTTAGAATATAGGAAATTCTTCTCTTATTAAGTTTTATATTTAATAGTTTTAATTAAAATAGGTAAGCTAATATTCTTATAGACTTTTCTTACTTCTTTTTAATTAAATATAATTATATTTTCTTAATTAATTATTAATTCTTGAAATATAGCTAGTTCCTTTTCCTAGAACTAGTTACTAATATCTAATTATTTAAGATATTCTGAAATAGTTATATATCTCTTAAAATAGCTAATATTCTTAGTAAAAAATAGTTCTTATATTTCCTAATATATTTTTATAGGTATTCTCTAGCTTTAGATCTCTTAAACTAGTTCGGATATTTACTAGGGCCTTTTCTAGTTCTATTATTAGTATTTACTAGTTAAATCTTCTTATTCTTTATTTTATATATTTCTATAATTAGAAATAGACTATAATTATTATTCTTTTCTTTAAAAGCTATAGTTATTTTCTCTAGTACTCTTTTTATCTAATCTCCGGAATTTATAACTTTCCTATTTAGCTTCTTTCTAGTTAGGTATAAAGAATGCTTTTTTATTTAGTATTTTAATATACCTTTTTTAAGCTCCTATATATTCCAGAATTCTTTCTAGTCTTAAGTTTAATATTTCTTAGCTTTAGGAATATATTTCTTTATTATTAAGAGATACTATTTTACTTTTTCTTTAGAAATATTTTTATTTAATATTCTTTTTATTTCTTTTTCTATTAATTCCGGAATTACTCTTAATAATATTCTAATTAGAGCCTTTTCTATTTTAGTTTCTCTAAAAATATTATTAATTTCCTAAACTTCTAAACCCAAAATAAAAGAATTTATAAGAAATTCTAGTATTTTCCTATTTCCTCTAATATTACTACTAGTTATAATATTAGGCTCTATTTTTTCTTTTTACTTTTAGTTTCCTATTCTATATTATTTAATTTCTTAATTCTAAAAGCTTAGTATTCTTGAATTATTACTTTCTTCTATTTTCTAGTATTTTTTAAAAATAAAATAATTATAATAATATAGATATTCTAGTTATTTTTAGGATTAGTAAATCTTTTATTTTATAAACTATTACTTTTATATATAATATTTATTTTTATTTTTACTAAAAATAGTTAATTAAATAGGATCTTTAGAGCTTTTTTAACTAGAAAGAATATATTTTTATATTTTACTTTATTTATAACCTTAGTTCTAAGCTTTACTATTTCTATAAATTTAAATTCTGCCCTAGTAATAATAGATATTTAATAATTTATAGTATTATATATTACTTTACTAATATTTCTAGAGATCTTTTCGGGAAAAATATTAATTTTAGCTTTAGTATTAATTATTTCTTTATATTTAATACTTTTTTAAGGTTCTTGAAATATAAACTAAAGATATAAAGCTTATATAATATATTTATAAGCTAGTAATATCCGAATATTAATACTATTACCTTTAAATTAAATAATTCTATTAGTATTAGGTATCTAAACTAGTATTTCTAATTCCTTAAATATTCTATTTATTATATAAACTATAGCTACTAGTTTTATAGATTTCCTAATATATCTAACTATACTTAATATAATAGTATTTCCTATTTATAAGATAATAAGATAAGAAGTATTATTTTTAATCTATTAGTTCTAAAATATAATAGCTAGATCTGGCGTTTTTAAAGTATTAATAAGTATTTTTGTTTTCTTCTAAGTTTTTAGAAATAGAATAGTTATTTTCTTTAGTAATCTTATTAGAATATTATTAATTTCAGGAATTCTATACTTATTATAGTTAAGAGTATATTAGGTTCCTAATTTATTTTATTTATTTCCGGAAGTATTAATATTTATATTCTTAGCTAGGCTATTTCCTTATCTATTACTTTTTAAAGTAATATTCTTCTAGCCTTTTATATAAGGTAGCTTCTCTTTTATTCTAGCTTATTTTTAGAAAACCTTTTTAGCTATTTCTATTTCTTTTTTCTTTTTTCTTAATAAGAAACCTGTTATAGTATTAATAGAAATATTATTTATAGCTAAATCTTAATACTATTTATTAATTCTAGAACCTAAAGTATTAGTAATTCTAATATAATTTCCTCTAAGGTAAAGCGGCTATTTAGATTTCCTAGATATAACTTGCTTATTTCTATATATAAATCCTGGTTAGCTAGTTCTCTTTTCTTTTTCTTGTCTAGTAAACTAGGTATTTTTTATTAATCTCTAGATATTTTTAGGTTAAGTATTTAAGTTATAGTTAAATTTTCCTTCTCGGACTTAGGAAATGATTTAATTAAACTACTAGTACTTACTAATAAGGAAAAAGGAAATACTTTCTTATTTAGGCTTAAATAGCCTTTTATATTATTTTTTATTAAATTAGTAAGTATATTTATAGTTTATAAGTTCTTTTATTAATAAGTAATAGAACTAAGAAATATGAATATATTTTAGGTTAATATTATTATTCTTGTTTTTACTATAGTACCTATAGTAAATTTGTTCTTTTAGTTCTAAGTTTATATTATAGGCTATATTAACTTAAATAATATTTTCTAATTATACTTAAAACTAACTTTCTCTAGAATATAATTATCTAAATTCTTTACTTATTCTAGCTTAATTACTATAGCTACTATAGTATTCTTTATAACCTTTATTATAACTTCTAGTATATTTTCCCTAAAGACTCGAATTATACTTACTAGGCTATTAATACTATTATACTTACTATAGTTAGCTAGACTATATAAGCAGGCTATAGATATTCTCCCGAATTATAATAATAGCTATATTAAGTTATTTCTATAGGTTCTTTTAAGTTATAATAATAATAAATAGTTTTTTTAGATTTCTTACTAGCTAGTTAATATTATTTCTCTTAAATTTACTACTTTTAATAAGTTTTATATAATTAGCTATAGGCTAGGTTCTTTTCTTACTTATATCTATAATAGCTTTAGGAAATATAATAAGAGAAACTAGTAAGAAATAATTATTTTCTGGTTTAGGAACTATATTATAGATTACTATATTCAAGTATTCTTATCTAAGTCTAAATATATCTGGGTTATTAGTAATATTAAAATAATATTTCTTCTTTTTATATTAATAGAATATTATTACTTTCTTATATATCTTATTATATTTATAAGTAGAAATATCTATAGGCTTAAAGTTTATATTCTTAAGAATATAATCTTTTACTAGAATAAATAATTCTTTTATAAATTCTCGGTACTAAATAATTTTATTTCTTTCTTTTCTTTTTAGTAATTTCTTTAATATTTTATTAAATATATTAATATAAGACTTAAATAAGATTTCTTTATTCTAGGCTTATATAATAATCTAATTAAGAAAGTTATGGCTAATTTTAAGTATTTCCTAGTTATATTCTCGGAATTTCTTTAGTAAGGCCTTAAAAAACTTAGTTTCCTAGTAATTTCCTAAATTATTAATATAGTATTCCGATATAGCCTTAATCTAATTCTTATAAATAGGAGAGATATAATAGATAATTCTCTCTTTTTTAGTATTATTAGAAATATAGTAGTTCTTATATATATTTATATATTATTTTAAAAATATAAAAATATTACTTTCCTAAAACTATAGTACTTTAGGAGCTCCCGCAAGTAATAGGTTTAAACCTAGTACTAGTATATACTTATTTTTAGTTATATTAATCTTAATAATTTCTTTTATAATTAATTATAGAGTTTTCGTATTTAAGACTTCTACTAATAAGATTCCTAAAGAACTAACTTCTTATTTAAATATATTTTTTAGTTTAGGAACCGGAATTAGGGAGAAACTAATTAATAATAATAAATATAGTTAAGGTTTGAGTTTTAGTATTAGTAGTAATAAGATAATAGCTTTTCTAGTCTTATTTCTATTACTTATACTTTCTTTTCTATTTCTTTAGCTTAATACCTATAGTATTTTCTCTTAATTTTACTAAATTAGGTATACTTATTAATACTATTAAAAGTAATAATAAAAATAATAAATATAATTTTACTAATTTTTATAACTTTTCTAAATTTTCTTTTCTTTCTTTATTTAGTATTTATTTCTTTTTCTAGAAGTTTCTCTAGTTTATTTATATAATTTCTTATTTCTAATTTCTTTTTAATTCTTATTTCTAATTCCAGTTTACTATTTTACTTAAATTTAAGGGTATTTCCTCTTTTAGGTATCTTTTTTGGATTTAGGAATAAGCTTTACTACTAAGATTAAAGCTATTTTGATTCCGGCTTTTATTATAACTAAAAATAATATATAAATTAATAATATAACTTTATTTCCGAGTACTAAAATCTAATTCTAACTAAGGTCTAACTTATACTATCTTAATATAATATTTCTTATTCTATTTTCTTTACTTCTTTTCTTTTTATAATTAGCCTCTATTTCTACTATTTCTATATACTATACTAGTAATTATATCTTGCGGCTAACCCGTATTCAAGTTACTAGATATATTGGAAATTAATATAAGATACTAAAATTAATATTTATATATCCTTAATATTTTAGCCTTAGGCTTAAGATATTATAATAGCCCTTTTCTCCCCTAACTTACTAAGCTAATAATTCGCCTTATAAATACTTTTCAGAACTTTATAAAAGTATTACCTTAATTATAAAGTTTCTATCCTTCCTATATTACTTATTATAAAATATATAAGAGGGAAACTATAATAAAACAAAAACCCATATAAAGTATACTAGAGTACAAAACGTAACTTAATAGTAAAATAATAAATTAAAAGTATAAATAGTAAAGTATAAATAGTATATAGTATATAAAAGCTTAATTAATTAAATACTTATAAAGGATTCTTTTTTAAGTCTATAGAAAAACTAGCTTTCTTATATGATTTCCGCAAGTTATATATAAAAGGCCGCGGCCTTT